TAATGATATATAATATCAATTTTAATATTTAATATATAATTAATATAATTAGATTTCAATAGTGTTATTATTACGTATAACAAAAGAAGAATAGAAGACCAAGCAAAAGAATCTATATATTTAAATATAAATTCCTTCAAGAATTTCTAGTTAATAATATTTAAAGGTATATGATTGTTCTCTTCATATTTAATGACAACAATAGGAAATGGGCAATAAGTATATTTGGCTAAAAAAAAAGGTAAATTTGAGCTTACCTTTATTTATTGTTTAAAATCTAATAATAATAATAATATAATACGTCTATCAAATATTTAAAATAAAGAAAAATAAGCAAAGAAATAAAAAAAAAAACAAAGTTGCAATGCAGAATTAAAAAAAAAAATTGTATTAATATAAAATTTGGCTTAATTATAAATTTAGTGTTTGAACTTTCAAAAAATTTTTATTTCAATGTCTCAACAGAAAACTTTTGTAATCAAGTGTCGAAACCGTTAAATTTGGCTTAATTATAAATTTAGTGTTTGAACTTTCAAAAAATTTTTATTTCAATGTCTCAACAGAAAACTTTTGTAATCAAGTGTCGAAACCGTTAAATTTTTTTCAATCACTTGTCTTCATTCTACGTGGCTTGCCGGAAATATGAATAGAATGCACGGGACCCACTAATTGTTAAAAATAATGTTGTGTAGGACGCCAAATAGCTTGACACGTCGGATTTGACATATCAAGCAGTGAAGTGTATCAAACCGATATTGCTTAATTAATACAAACCGAACGAAAAATCATCTACAATCCTCTTCGTTCTTCTTCCTTCAAGGCAATCTCTGATCGCTCTTCATTCTCCATGAATCCCAGCCCGCTCTCAGTTATTAGCGCCAGCATCATCGACCAAGCAACAGGCGACCACCACCTTTGGTCACTTTTTGTGACTCTACCCTTATATTTTTATAACCATTCTACATTTTTGATCCTCTATTGGACGAAAGGACAAGCGAGAGGAGGACAGTTCACGACTTTGACCACCAATGCTTCCGCAATAAGTTTTAGTGCACTAGGTGAGTCAAAGATGACCTTACCCTTCCTCTTATACCAATCTTTGCAATCAATTTTGGATCCTATTGCAAAAAACTATCAAACCATAAGATTAGGGTTCTTAAAACCTTATATGCTAAAATCCAACTAAATTACTAAGTCATTATGAAATTAAATACCATATAATTGTTCTAGTGAGATTTTGGTCATTTCAATATATACCTTGTGAACTTTGGTGGAGAACTTGAAAGTTGCTTCTGATGGCAGCAACTATGAAAGGGTTTTGCTACGATTTGAATTGAAACAAGCCCTAGCTAGATGATTCTGTGACATCCCGACCCGGCAAAGCGATCCTAGGATGACAGGCTAGCTAGGGTAGTGGAATGCGGGACATAGGAATGAATCGAATCATATATCGAAACGTTGAATAATCATGTGAAGACATCTTCCGACCGGCAATGCGATTTCCTAGGTGCGATGACAGGATGCTATGCTAGGGGTAAGTGGAATGCGGGACCCACTTCAGGGTAAATGAATCGAATCAATATATGCGGATTCTGAAAAGGGAAACGTAATCATAGATAGATGTGTTAGGCGGCCTTTTGGTTTGGAGATGGCTAAGAGATTGGAAGAGAGACTTCCAGCGTCAACGGTGCTCATTGAACAGATAAGTCAGTCACGATAGGGAGTGGGTGACCGCTTCCTGGGAACGTTTCCCTTTCACACGCCCGTGGCAGGGACAAAATCGGGTGTGGTGAGGCGTAGGCGGTGATAACGCCTGAGGTGGGTAGGGCGTCGTGACTACCCACCCAGCCGACCAATTTCCTCTGGGTGAAATTAAGAGGTTCCAGGAGCGGCGACATTCGGCAAATCAGGAGCCACTGGGACCCTCCAGGTAGATGGTTATGGTTCGAGACAAACCCGGCGGAAAGCCCCTGGTGGGCCTGTACATCCTGACTTTGGCAAAGCATCTTAGGATGGCAGACTAGCTAGGGTAGTGGAATGCCGGGAACAATAGGAAATTGAAAATCCGAATTAATATCGAAAAAAGGGGAAAACTAATTCATTAGAGGCGGCTTTTTGGTGGAGATGGCTGGAGAGTTGGAAGAACTCCCAGGGTTAAAGTGTACTCGCTTTTTTTAGAATGAATCGAATTATATATCGAAAAGGGGGAAACTAATCATTAGAGGCGCTTTTTGGTGGAATGGCTGGAGAGTTGGAAGAACTCCAGGGTTAAGTGTACTCGCTTAACAGAAATCTTAGGATGGGTGACCTCCTGGAAAGTTTCCCATTTCATCTGCGGGACAAAACCGTGCGGGTAGGGCGTGCGGGGACTACACTGAGGTGTAGGAAGTCCATGGACTACACCAAAGCGAACAATTCCTCTGGTGATTAGAGTCGGGGCATGACAGATTCGTTCCACTTATACGTAGATTCCTAATTTTTTGATGAACTAATAAATGATCCAATCTTAGAATTTTTTTTAAGTGGTTATGTTGGCAATCTACCTGGATTCCAGTCTTTGCAATCATTCCAATCTACCTGGGTTCCAATCTGTCCAAGAAGTGCATCATTTGCACTTCACTACTTGACATGTCAGATTCAATGTGTCAAGCTGTTTGGCATCCTACACAACGTTAGTTTTAATAATTAGTGGGTTTCACACGTCCTATTCATGTTTCTGATAAGCCACGTAGGATGGAGACACCCGATTGAAAAAAATTTATTGATTCTGACACTTGATTGCAAATGTTTTCCGTTGAGACACTGGAATAGAAATTTTTTTTGAAAGTTCAGACACTAAATTTATAATTAAGCTTGTAAAATTCCTTTATTATGATATGTAGTTACTCAATATTATCTCGCTTATTTTTTTCTTTTTTTAATTATATATGTGCTCATAAATGAGGTTGAATGAATAATTTAGTTCTAAATCTTATTACTTTAATTTTATGAAACCTTCAATTTTTATTTCACTTGTTAAATAAATGTAAAAAATATTATTTCAAAAATTATACTAATTATATGCCAAGTCAATATTTTGCATACAAAAGATAAAACCCTAAAAATTATTATTATTAGTGTGGAAATGTATGCAGTGTTACTAAAATTTGCAAATTGAAGTGTATAATAAAAAAAATATTTATGAATAAAGGCCGCATTGGTCCTAAATTTATTTAGCAGGATAAAAAGGGTCAGATTATGCCAATTTTAACTTTTGAACTTGTATAAAATAATTAAAAAATTAAATTTAATATTTTAGGTCAATTTAATCTCTAAACTCATTTAAAATGATTAAAAAAAATTATATTTGATATTTTGAGTCAATTTAACCTCTAATTCTTCATTGTATCTAAAACTATAATTGAGATCGAGTTGACTAATTTATTAAAAAATAATTAATTATAAAATATAGGAAAATGATATATAAAGTATATTGTATCTCTCTTTACCTTGATCGATAGTTTTGAGTTTATAAATATTTATTAATTCGAACATTTTAAAATTAACTTCTATCATTAGGTTATCGCTTATAAAATCTTGCATTTTTCATATTGAATAAATTAAAGCTATAATGCATATTTATAAATTTATTATTACAAGGAATGTTTTTATGGATTTTAAATTTATATTCATAAGTGTTGGAAAAATTTTGATCTGGGTGTTTTTAGTGTAGGATAAAAAGGGATAACAAGTCAATTATGTTAAATTAAATCAATTATTAATTTGCGAAAATCAAAACAAGTTTAAGGTTTAAATTAACCAAAAAAGTGAAATTGAATCTTTTTAATATTCATAAAAGTGGTTGGAAAAATTTTGATCTGGGTTGTTTTTTTAGTGTAGGATAGGGGATTAACAAGTCCAATCTGATGTTAAATTTTAAATCAATTATTAATTTGGCGGAAAATCCAAAAAAAACCAAGTTTAAAGGGTTTAAATTAAAGCCAAAAAAAAGTGAAATTGAATTTTATTTAATCATGTTCATGCAAGTTCAAATGGCTAAATTAGCCCAAAAGATTAAATCTGATTTTTTTTTTTTCATCCTAAATGATCCCAGATCAATTAAATATTTATTTCAAGGTATATTAACAAACGTTATTAGTACTTATCATGCGCCACAATAGTAAAAAGTTAATGAGAAAATTTAAAAAGGTAAATCTATAACGATTCCCCGGCCGTAGTAAATGATAGTTACTCGGGTTATTAATATAGTATATATTATAAATAATAGGAAGTAATGAATTACAGATCCTAGCTATATTATGTTAAATTAAATCAATTATTAATTTGCGAAAATCAAAACAAGTTTAAGGTTTAAATTAACCAAAAAAGTGAAATTGAATCTTTTTAATCATTTCATGCAAGTTCAATGGCTAAATTAGCCCAAAAGATTAAATCTGATTTTTTTTTTCATCCTAAATGAATCCAGGATCAAATTAATATTTATTTCAAGTATTTACAAGTTATATATCATGCCACATAGTAAAAATTATAAAATTTAAAAGTAAATCTATACATTCCGCCGTATAAATGATATTACTGTTATTAATATAAATATTATAAATAATAGAAGTAAATGATATAAGATCTAGCTATAAACAATAGAAAAATTAGATTAATAAAAGAAATAAAGGAAAAGATTTTAAGTCAGTTAAAGCTACACAGTTTAATTTCCTCAGTTAAAAAAAATTAAAATACAGTGTTATTAGTTAAATTACAAATTTATGAATAAAATATTTTCTGTAAGTTGTATCATTACATTAACTAATTCAGTCTTTTTACTAAAATTTTATTTTAACTTTATTAATTTCAATTTAATTATTTTTGATACTAAAAATTCAATTAAATAAGAAAATTCATTTTGATTACATCTGATTAGCCAAATTAACGAATCAAATCATAAAATTTCCATGTCATCTCTTGCTCCGTTTATCCAATGTCACTAATCCAGCTGTTTTCTACTTAAACCGAGTAACCAACTAACCTTTCTCCTTCCTCCTTCATGTATAGCCTCTGTACCTCTTCTAGCTAAAAAGTTAAAGAGAGACTCAGATCTGAGCTTGATGGTTGCTGCCATCGAACAATCTGAAGCTACTCTGCTTCCCTAATTTCACTGCTCTAACTTATACGGTACTCCTCCATCTCTCTCATTCTCTCCTTCTCTCTTTATATAGTTGTGGCGAATTTTACTTTCCATTCTTACGTTTTCCTGGGAAAATCAGATGGAGTTCGCAAGACTATAACTATTCGTGTTGGTTGAGTTTTAATCTGCTTTCCTTTTGTAATTTGTCCTTAGCCTTGAATTGCATTCTCTCTCACTTGGAAATGTTGTTTTGTATGTGTGTATCCAATCCACGCCTGTGCATTCTTTGTAGTGTGACGAACAATAGGAAATCATTATATAATTTTTCAGGAACTGACTTCTGGTCTTCTTTATTTCAATTTTTTATTATATTTGTTTTACGTTTTTTGAGCTACTAAATTGGCTATTTTTTAGATATTGCTTATGAGGGGGATGATGTAATGGCAATTAATCTTTTTGGCTGGAATTTTGGCTGAAATATGTTGCTAGTGATGCTAGTAGTTTGTATTTATTGGATTTCTATCAGTGGAAATGGAAGAAAGAAGAAAAAAGAAGGGAAATCTTTTTAGAATTCTATTTCTGTACTTGTTTAGTTCTGCGGTGCTAATTTTCTTCTCGAAATGCAGAATTTAATTTTTTATTTGATATAGATGGTACTTAGAGGAAAAGAATTAAAAGAAAAATCTTCATCTTATTTTTTTCCCCTTTCCCTTAAATTTTCTTAGTAGCTAAAACAGAATAATTATGGAGTTCGTTATGATAATTGGGGTAAATATGTAAAAAGTCACCCAGAAAAGGTAAATGCAGGTTTCGTTTCTGTTTTTCAGGCCAAGGGAAACTATTGAAAGGGAAAATATAATGTAATCAATCTGCAGTGGGGGCGACCAGAAAAAGAAAAGCAAGGAAATCATCAACCCTATTATGCAGATGGGACTTATGAAGTGGATAATGAAATAATTTTCAGAACAAAGTGTTAACATTGTGAAAGCTGACACTTATATAAACACAACTTGCCGAGTTTCCAAGTGAACTAATTAATCAATGGCAAAAAAGATGCAGCAAGATTTTTCGGTCCATGATACATCCCTGTCGCCAACGGCTGCGAGATCGAGAGAGTGGGAGGGCCCATCAAGATGGACCGAGTACTTGGGTCCTGATATGACTTCTCCAATGACATTTAGGACTTCTAGGAACAGGGGTTCTGATGGACAGGTTCAGAGTTCAGGTGGTTCTCATAAGGGTTTGAACTTGCAGTGGGTATTACAGCTTACTGAAGTAGCTGAAGGCCTCATGGCCAAAATGTATAGATTAAATCAAATCCTGGATTATCCAGATCCAGTTGGTCATGCATTTTCAGAAGCATTTTGGAAGGCTGGGGTGTTCCCAAACTATCCAAGGATTTGCTTATTGCTCTCGAAAAAGTTTCCTGAACATTTTAGCAAATTGCAACTTGAACGAGTAAGAATTGCTCTATTCTATTAAGGATGCATATATTAATTTTCTTTATGTCTCTTTCAACAAATAGTTCTATAAGTTGGGATGCAACAATGTAGGTTGATAAGATTGCTTTGGATGCTTTGAATGATAGTGCAGAAGTTCATTTACAGTGCTTGGAGCCATGGGTTCAGGTATGGAGCTTGTTTGCTTGCATGCTTTAATTCATCTGTTGCATGTCAGTATTTAAGCCTGCAGATGAGTATTAGTACAAATCATTCTTGTGGTTGGTTTAGGAACAGGCCTTGTTTAGGACCAGGTGTGGTTTAGGACCAGGCCTATGTAGTTTATTAATTTTTGCTTCTCTCATTTCTTTTAGCTAAATATGCTTCTTAATACATTAAAGCATTTTTCTTCTGTCCTGAGCTAATTTCTGAGCATGTTTTGTAGACTGCATGTATTCAATCTAGTTTACAAAAATTATCATCTTTGGCTTTTTAAGCAGTTACAATGGCACAAAAGGTGCAAAAATAGTTGATATTTGAGTAAATTTAGACCACTTAATTCTTAATAAATTCATCATTTTGCTAACTAATGAAGATATTTATAGCAATACTTTTACCTTTTGATAATCAAAAGCCATTTTAAGTAAGTTGTCAAATTTTTATGTATTAGTTTTCCCCTATATTTTCATATTAGGCAATTGTTTCCTAGGAGAGACACCTTACAGAATGGAACTCATTGAAGTGATCAAGAAGTCAGGGTTGCAAGCAAAACTGCCAAGATGAGCTGAGAGATTGTGCTTGACTTGAGCCTAAATATTCTAGCTTGGTCTTTCAATTATTCTCTGAGCATCTTATCTTAGCTTGCCTTATCGACACATTTCTGGGACCCAATCACCCAAGCTGAGCTAGATATCAGCTTAATATAACAAGGATTATGCATTTCTAGGTTTTACTTTGTCATCTACAGTAAATTAATTATGCTCAACTGTAGCAAGTCTTCTTAACTCCTTTTGTTGAGTTTCAAGTATATTCAAGAGTTAAGTGGATCTATTAAGTTAACTGTTTTCACACTAGAAATGTCCCTGACTGCTGGTGGCTAGAGGAGATAGAGTAATGCTACCTGGAGGTGCCCAAAAAAGTAAATAAAATCTTTTATCCATTTAACTGTAGAGACATCCGTTTTTTGAGCTTCTAATGGACAAACAGGTGCATAAAAATTTGTCAATAGTTATAGGTAGTAATTATGTGGCTTTTTGAAAAACTAATAAGTAACCTGTTATTTCAAATGATGTTACTAGCTATCCTGCTGCATGTTAGGAATGTATTGCCGGAAGTTAATGCAAACTGATTTCCTCAATCAACTTAAACTGGTTGAATTGTTTTATGAAGATCATAAGTAGGAAGAAAGGAAGATAGCAAGTAAGAGAGGAAGAGAGAGAAAAGTGGAAGATCTTTAGCAGAAATTGACCTTGATTCTTATTACTAAATTCAAATACAACAAAAACAACAACAACAACCACAACAACCAAGCGTTAATTCAATACAGATCCTGCTTCTCATAGTTTAACTTATAACGATTTCAGTAACAAACAATTGATTATTGACTAAACTGCAACTAATTGTGGTAGGATGGGAAACTTCCGCCAATGGTTTCAACTAATAATCCTTTATGATTAGACTAAATACTGGTGTCTGATAGAGCTGAAAGAATATAGAAAAAACGAAAAGAAAGGGAAAATAGACGAAAGTTTTTTTAAAATAAACTGGATCACTAGATTTAACAGAACTTCAATTAGAAATGGGATTAAGTCATATAGTTGTGGCATTTTCCCACACATCATAAGCTATCAGGTCACAAACAATTATTTGCATGCACTTCCATCTCGACTACTCTAATGATGATGTGGAAATTAATTGATTTCTGATCATTAAAGAGACTTTATCAATATTATTGTCTAGTTGGTAATTTTTTTTTTTTTTATGTGGACCAGCTGCTCATTGACTTGATGGCATTTCGAGAACAAGCTCTGCGCCTTATATTGGATCTAAGTAGTACGGTCATTACCTTGTTGGTAAGTATCAAGATATTTTGTCATTTGACTTGGTCTGATGTGCCAAACATTTGGCCTAAAAAGCCAAATGATCTATAGAACATTAGCCTGCTGATTAGTCTGGGCAATATAGTTCTTGGGTTTCTATCTAAACCCATGAAGATGCTAAATCTGCACCTCCCCCCATACCCATCAGCCCTTTTATTTTGTTCTATTTCTATTTTTTTGCCAAATGTAGATGGATAGAAACATAATGATTGCTCCTGCGCATGATATCTCTGATAACTTGGCACGGTATTTTGCAGCCCCATCAGAACTCACTTATACTGCATGCATTTATGGATCTGTTCTGTTCATTTGTCCGTGTCAACCTTTTCTCTGAGAAGGCAAGTGATCTTTCTGTCTTTCCTTCTCCTTAATTTTTCCGTTCTGTTTATGTATTTGTTGGGTGTATATATATATATATATATATATAATCAGCTTAGAAGGTCAAATTACCAGGGCCTCTTGTTGGTAACGAGTACTCACAAGAATATGTTTGCTCAAAATTTGACTTGGTCTGGAATGGGACCCAGAAACATGCATAATGGCTAGGAGAGAAGTCCAATAATGATCTATAGAACATCTCTAGCCTTGCTGGAATAGTCCTGGGCAATAAATATAGTTTTTCTTGGTTTCCTATCGACCAGTGAAGGATGCTAAAATCTAGCAACCTGCCCAACTAACCCATCGGCGAGACATATGTTATGTGTCTATGGCGTTCTATTCTATTGTGCGCCAAATCGGTAAGATGGACTAGAACATGAAATGATTGTCGGTCCCGAACGCATGAAAATCTGATCTGATAAAAATTGGCACGGTATTAACATTTGGCACAAGGCCCCATACTAGAACTGCACTTATGCGTTATCCCTTGCATGCATATTATGGATTGTTGGTTTCTATGTCTGTTCCCTCTGTAGTCAAAGCTTTTCCTGCGCTAAGAAATAGCAAAGTTTGATTGCGTTCCTTCTGCTCCTTCCTTCCTCTCTTAATTATTAATATCGCGTCTAGTTTGATGTTATATAGGTTTGGTGTTATATAATAAAGTAATATATATACAGATATATACAATGAATAATTGAAGAGCTTTACACGATTTAGACGAGAGAGTATAATGGGGCTTAAACAAACTGCTAACTGGATATTGCCTTCCGGCTTGGAATATTTCTCGACGTAGATACTAGAAAAATGATGCTTGACACGCGATTTTTACGCGCAATATGTATAATCTTCCTGCATGTCCAATGCATCAAAAGTAAATGACTAGATGACTGTAGATTTCTTAATACAATCTCGGTATGATATATCTGTTTGGATTCATTGAACCTAATCTTTTTTGTGCGTTCACTTTGAGATGAACACATTAATCGTTACACGTGCCCATACTCCTCTATTATTTTGGTCAATAAATCCTTTAATCACACTGTGAAGATTGACAACCGTTTCCAGTGTCTTTATTTTTTGTGAGCACCTCAATTGCCTAGTGTCAAAAAAGTAAATTATGAAGTTCGAAGGTACCTGCACTTTGTCGCCCCAGATCTATTTACATTTACACCGATTATTGCAATTTGCAAGGTAATAGATGATATACTCTACAATGACAAGATGAAACTATGAGATTTTCTTGTATTCAAAAATCTAAATTCTGTTTTTTGCTAAAACTCTGAGTTGATAGAATAATATCCACTTTAGTATGCTTATTTCGCTGATTTGTAGAAACACGGAAGATATAACTAGGCAAATCTTAATCTATGGAATGAGTATATACGTTACAACTCTAGGAATAGGTTGCCTTTTTTTTTGAAGTTTAAAATGCAACCCGTCATCATGGATAAATTCTTTGTGGATAATAATGGGTATTAGCAATTTCAGCGTCTCTTATTTATATCAATTCTTATTAGAATATCCTCATCGTCCTTTTATTGAGTGATGACAGTCTTTAACGTCATCTACCTGATATATAGGAGAAATTTAGTATAGGCTAAATTATTATAAAGAGACATTTGGGGAGTAAAGGTGGGTGCTTATAGAGCGTGGCTGTATTTGATTGTTCTTTGGGATTGGATTCCAATCCAAGCTAAATATTTCTCATTGGGTTAATCTTAGAATTAAGAAGACCTTTTCATGGGTGTTAAAGTTGCCGGGATAGACTCTTGTACTTTTTACTATATCGCCACTGTAAGTCTAAGGATGAACAAAACAGCCTCATCAGCAGCTCGGGCTTCACTTCACATCTCAAGCATTTCGGAGCTGGTGTTATAGATTTGATTTTGGATTTGCTAAAGATAACCAGTAATCGAAAAAGATAAATGAGGCACAACCTAGGAGTCTAATCTTAAACAAATTTGGTAGTTTTGTGGCCAGCATTTCAAGACTGTGGAATTCTTTCTGTTTCGAAGAGCCCTTGAGTGCAAAATTCATGAGTACAGATGGTAAACTTGGTAGTAAAAAACGATGCGCATTCACTGTAAGAATCCCAAGTGGTCCCAAGGCAGCTAAACGTAGAGAATTTTTGAAGTTGAGCTACTTTGAATACACGGAGGAATGAAACTGTATCTAGTATGTAGAGTGAAGTAGTTGGTTTGAAAGGAACGCGAAATTTATACTAACTTATATGCAGTCAGTTTGTTTATTTCCTTAGCTCTTAATTAGTCCTTTGAATTATGACACATAAGCCTAAATTATCATTTGTGGCTCTCTCTAGTGTTTTTGGATACAGCACATAGGACAGAGAGTGATGCCCTAAAGGCCAGTACGTTCATAGTTTGCTGTAGATTATTTTGTGATTGGTATAATTTGGTAGTTTATATTGTTTCTTTGTATTGAGTCACTGCTTAAGTTTAATTAGCGAACAGTTGGTCGTCGATTGCTTACAATTCATCTAAGTTAGAACAAATTAGATATTTGTACGTTCTGATGTTGCGTATGATACTAGGTTGGATATCGCAGTTCATAGACGCTCAAATATCAAACGCCATCTCGAGAAAAGGTGTTAACAGAAGATAGACCATGGAAATTATTGTTTGTAGTCCGAGCTGCATTGGAGAAAGGCGCTATCATTTTTAAATCCCTTATCTTTATCAGAGAACAATCAATAATTTTATGTTGCTGATCAAAATTTCTAAACTATTTTTTTGGTAGACGATGATAACTTGATTGATGGCAATTTTGTATATTATTTTTGTCACCTCAAAATATTCTTAGTCCAGTGGTTGGAGGTTTTGTAAAAAGGCCTAGTAGCTCTTGTCCTATACACAAAGTTTAAAGAGGTACGTCTGCACTATCTACTTGTGTCTTGTTGTTTTTGTCTGCGTAATTCATTTTTTCTTTGGTATTTTTTTAGCTATATTCTAAATTTTGCAATAGGTTGAAATGGAAGAATTGAATTGGAGGATTTAAAAATGACTGAGCATTAGAAGGTTTTGAAGATTTGCCTTGAATTATTCCTTCCAAGGATATAGGCTTCTATATGGGATCATATAGATTGATAACAAATATGGCAATAGATCCTTAGCTATAAACTATAATAGGAATCTTAGCCTAATAACTATGTAGGGAATTGCTACCAAATATTAACAAGTTCACTTAAAAATTAAAATAGTAATATTTTAACACTCCCCGTCAATGCTAAGAGCAAACATGTGCATGAGCGCTCCCTAGATTGTTACAAAATATTAATCATGACCTGAGAAGGACTAATCTTAAGGGATTTGGTACAAGATATTTACCAACTTATCATTTGAATTGATGAAAGGGATTGTATGATAACAACACCGGACTGATCTTATGCCTGAATAAAAATGACATAACTAGGTTCTATAGTATTTCGGTTCTTTCATGAAACATTGGATTGTGCAAATATGCAATGCTACCCTAATTATCACATATTAGTTTCATTTGTTTCACTTCGCCAACACTTGAAATCTCTGAAGAAGTGTTTTTAAGCCAAATAAAGTATCATCATGCTCACGACTAACTGCCATGACTCGATATTCCGCTTCCTGCGCTCGTAACTGATAGCCACAACATCTCCTGCTTTGTCTCCCGTAACTCTTGAGGAGTAACCGAAGATTTTCATCTAATCATAACACATAAGTAGCCTGAAGCCATACCATCTAATGCAGATGGAGAACTGCCAATTTAGACAAAGAAAGTAGCGCTACTACTCTCTTGTGTGGGCCTAATATGTCTTAATATAACAAACTTGCTGGGAGTTATTTTGATATACTATCAGTGGCCACTGACATCCCAATGGCTTATCACAATGAAGACTTGGAGAAAACCTGCTAATTATACTACTGCAAGAAATATCTCGGTCCTTTGTGGATTGTCAGATAATTAAGCTTACAAACAAGCCCTTCCATAGTATATAGTGGATTCATATTTAAATGGCTGTATACTATCTTGAGAACAAGCTTTTCATCAATTGGGATCCATAGGAGTATCCAAGGTTATAGGTTGCCAGTGCTAGACCACATGAACCATCGGTCCATCTTCTATGTCATTGGTTGAGTGCATATTTCCCTGTGAATTGTAACACATATATATATGATATGGATACCTGTTCCCCATAAAGTATTTTAGTTTTTCGCTAAGGTCTTTGGTTTGAAAGGTGACTAGACAAATGCTCCTTAAGTTTGGGAGATCCCTTTGTGATCATTGCCTGTTATGACAATAGATCATACAATAATATATATCATTTACCATACTCTCCATGTCGGTACAAACTGAATGATCAGCCGTCACTTGTTCTGCTTGATGAACATAGTATATATATTCAAATACCGCGCACGTGGAAATATATAGATTCAAGCCATATAAGGAGATCGTCCGATAGTCGTGTTAGCCAAAAGATATATATAGCACAAATGCTAGGAGGATATAGAGATCACCTATATACTTACTCAGCTAACTCCCCAATGGCCAAGAAAGCATTTTTAATATACAACAGCTAATGAAGAAGCCAATGGTAAATAATAGATGAGGAATAAGTCGACAGACACATATATATGATAGGCAAACAAGTTTGTCACTGTAAGATAGTATATAGGATAGATGTACCCGCTTGGCAACAGTCTTGATATTGGTAGATATATATAGAGAGCCCATTAGACATATAGGAAACAGTTGTTAAAACCACGGCAACAACACGTTGAACTAATTTGCCAGGAGGCAATTGAATAAGTTCCCAAGGTACATTATTTAGTGAGAGATAGATATAATATATATAGATAGAGTTAGAGACCACTATGGAATAAAGTGCTTCACTGATAATTTGATATAAGGTATAGATAGTAGACAAGGGTTAGAAACAAAAAGGTATAATAAGGAGGAAGATAAACAATGATAACTCCAAGGAACTCATATTAAATAGGAATAAGGGTTTCAGTGGAACGAATACCT